AACCAGCAAAAGATGAGGGCTTCCTGCTTCCCCCTCGGTGCCCACCTCCTTCAAGAAGTCTTTTAGGACCCCCTTCCTGCACAGCGACCTCTCCCTGTCTGTACATCAGAGCATTCAGGTCACTTCTGAGGGCTCCTGGTCACCTGGGGTTTGGTTGGAGGGCCTCCCCCTCGTCCCCCCACAGGGGTCCTGGCATCTTTAAGGTGATAAGCTAGTTGTCAAAAGAAAGAAATTCAACTGTGCTGCTCTCCTATCAGCTGACCCTTTCAAATAAACCCTGGTAGCTGCTGGTGACCTTAATCCTCTGGCCAGCATCCCATTCATTGTATGCAAATACTGCCACTGGGCGCCCAGAGGAATATTTGTGTAAACACGGATTTAACTGCATCCCTGCCTGCGTCCTGTTGACTCAAGTACTGCTTATCAAACTTCTCTCCAGAGCCCTTTGTGTACCAGGCTCCAGGATTTAATAGTTTGTCTCTTGACCTCTCCATAACCCTGAAAGAGGCAGGCTGGGCCAGGCGGAGATTATCCGTCCCATGGGGAAAGCTCTGGTTCTGAGGCCAGGAATCCTGGGTCCAGAGTCAGCCTCCAGCCAAGCTCGGCGCTAGAGGGGCCTGCTGCTCCTGCCTCTCAGAGAGGAGGCCAGCCAGGCCTGCCCAGGTCAGGAGGACCAAGCCATCCTGCAGAGCCCTGAGGCCTGCATGTCACCCCTCTCGTATATGTTGTGACAGCCCACACATCGCCACAGCCATGTCCAGGATCATGATCATCGCCAGCCACGCACACGACCACAGTTGTGTGGCCCACCCCAGCCTCAGGACACCAACTTTTGGGGGCTGCAGGGGTGCAAGTCAGGTGCAGGATGTGAGCGTGCCCGCCTGGCCCCGCTTCCTCCCACCTGTCATTTCCAGCACCTTGGAAAACGCGGATCAAGGGGGACAGACAGTATGGACCTGGCAAGGTCACGCGGAGAAGGGTCATCTTCCCTTCATTTTTAAGTTTTGGTTGGTGGACGCTGGTGTCCGTTCCTCCTTCTGCCCCCTACCCACTTCTGTTCTGGTTACTGTCTCAGATGTCACTCTGGGGATGATGACTCATGGAATCTGAGGAGTGCAGGGGATTCGAGAGGTCATCCAGAACCTAAGAGCGGCCTCCAAAGGCAGGGCCAGGTCTACATTGCTGAGTTCCCCTCCAGAACCTTCTGGAACAGGCCCCAGGCCTCCCCCATACTGGAAGGCAGCTGATGTCATCTCCCATGGAGTTGCCACCCAGCTCAAGTGGTGGCTTCCAGTCCGCATCCTCCTGGGCCCGCCCCCTGGACACCTTCAATTGCCCAGGGACACTCGCAAAGTTCGAACGACACTAAGTCAAAGGCCCAAAAGCTCTTTGACCAAACACAACTGAAATACACGGTTTCACCCGCTGCACGACACAGTGGGTTTTAGGGTACTTTCAGGGGAGTTAAGCTTCATTGCCACTAAAAGACCCCTCCCAAAGCAACAAGAGCTTTTGAACCTGGGGATGGGCATTACTCCAGGAGTGCCAAGGGCCACAGGGAGAGGACTCGGTTTCCGTGGTTCCCTGCGGCATCTCCAAGGCCAAGTTTGCTAAATCAATGGATGAAGTGACATGTCACAAGCCCTCAGAGCTGGGTTACCCTGCAGTGGATCGTCACTGCTCACCCAGCTTCCAACAAGAACAGACCAGGACCCTGCAGAGGGCAGGGCAACCCAGCAGACACCCCGCTCCAGGCCTGGTGCCCACGGCTCTCGCGGCCACCCGCACCCCCACTCAGCGGCTTTGACCAGGAAGATTCTGGAGGAGCCTTCGGCTCTTCTACAATCCCAGTGCGATAACAAGAGCACAGCCCTGAGCTCAAAGAAGGAGATGAAGCCACACTGTCGTGAGGTTCCCGGGAGCCACAGAAACCCAGCTGCCCGGTCCAACCCCCCATCTGCTTCCCCACTCCACCAGACAGGCGCTCCTGCGAAGGCTGGGGTGACACTCCTGGGTGAGACTCCTGTGAAGGCTGGGGTGACGTCACTGCTCCACTCCTGCACAGACTTCCAACTGCACTCAAAGTCAAAGCCAAAGCCAGTCCTGGTCTGCGGGACCCACAGCTCTGACCATCAGCCACCGGTTCCGCCCTTCCTGCCTCCCCCTCACCCCTTACCCCTGCTCCAGCCATGCTGGCTGCTTTGAGGTCCCCAATACCCGGCATCCGCCCTTCTCTGAGGCTTTGCTCCTTCCTCTGCCCAAAATGCCCCTTTCCTGGGACCTTTCCTCAATGTCCCTGGCTCAGTGTAACCTTCTGGGCCTCCATTCTAGCCCATCTCTGACCTCCTTCCCACATTTGCCTTCTCCTTGGCGTTGACTGCAAATGAATGTACTAAAATACTACACTCAAAACTGTGTAGTATTTGATGGTGGTGCTAAGGCCTTCGGGATGTCCTGGGTAGAAGGGACCCCTCCTCACAAACATAGCTGGGGTCATTCTCCCAAAGTGGTGACTTCAAACAAATAAGATGGAAATGGAGCAGAGAAATCTGAATTTAGCGGGCTCGTATCTGAATCGTCAGAAAGGCCCTGTGCAGCCAGCGACAAATGCACTTAGTCTAGGGAAAAAAAAAAAAAATAGAAGAACTTGAAGTCCAAACAGGAATCACAGAGAGCGGGGCGCGGTACACACACCTGTAATCCCAGCGACTCGAGGCTGAGGCAGGAGGATCTTGAGGTCAAAGCCAGCCCCAGCAACTTAGTGAGACTCTGTCTAAAAGATAAAAAGAGCTGGGATGTGGCTCAGTGGTTAATTGTCCCTGAGTTCAATACCTGGTACAAAAAAAGAACAGGAAAAGAAAAAAAAAAAAAAAAAAAACAACCAGGAAACTCGAATACGCCGGCCAGGGAGCCAGGGCCCCCTCAATTTCATGGGCACTGCAGGATGAAAATATTCTACAAGAATTGAAATAAATCACTGGCAGGCAGACAGCTACCTGGTGGCTGCTGAGAGGACTTGGAAGTGGCTGTGGGTGTCCCACGGAGTGGGGGCACCGAGTCTTTTCCAGCCCAGAGCTGCTTCTTTTTCACTTAGTGGGATCTGATGACGGCAGGAAAGGCTGAGATAACCTGGGACAAGGACAGACATCCTTCCCCAAGTCCCCTATTGTCAGTAAGCCACCCGCCCGGTTTGTGGTAATTTTGTTAGAGAGGCCGCAGGAAACCTGCACATGCGCTTGTGCGCGTGCACACACACACACACACACACACACACACACAGTCTTGGGCTTCTGCTGTAAGCCCTGTCTCCCCCTTTTGCTCATCTCTGCTGCACCCCCAGAGGCCCTGGGCTGGGCCAACACTCGCCAGACCCTGTGGACAGGCTTGGGAGTGGAGTCTCTTGGGGACTGTCAAGGGCATGAGGGGCCTGGGCAGCCTCCAGGGCGAGGAGTGGGAAGGACAAGGGGCTTGCAGAATGGGGGAGCATTCCTGAAGGACGAGTTCTGGGCCCAGACACAGGGCTGCAGGCCACGCACTGCGAATGCAGATATGAGGGTTTTCACCCACCTCCCAAACAGGCCCTGGAGTCCCCAGCCTGGCACTGGGCCCACACAGAGTGCCCCTCAGCCACAGGCCCAGGGCTGTCATCAGCCACCTGCCTGACACTGGACCAAAGGCTGGAAAAGCCACAGTAGCCACAGACAGTCCACAGCCCCTTCCATTCCTCCTCCCAGGAGCGCCTGCTAAAACCATGTCAAGTCAAAGACCGTGGGGACTGGTCAGGGACAGTGGGTGGGTCTGAGCTTTGTGAAAGCTTTGTTGAATTCCAGGAGGGCACAGAAAATTAAAAAGAGGTGCAGCAGGAAGGACCTAGCAAGTGCCTTCCCCTTGGAGACCCTAATGGCCCAGTCTCCTACCTCTGGATAATCCTCTTGGGGGTGAGGGTTGCTGTTTTCCCGATTAGGAACTTTGGAACTCTGAAGCGTCTGTGTTCCTTTAAGAAAATCCTCTTTTGGATCAGCTTTGCAGCCTGGGACTCTCTACCACTCACAAATGTCACCAAATCACTTCACTCAAGGCCATTATGGAAACTGGGTTGTCACCCCCCTCTTCCTGGACAGGTCAGCTGTTTGGAGGGGCACTGATACGCCTCCTTTCTTTCCCCTTTGGGGACCTCTCTCCTCCAGATTCACTCCCACCAGAACCCAGGCAGGGAGGGCTCTCAGGGAAAGCCACCTGCCCATCAGCAACGCAGGCCAAAGTGCCAGCCCTGCCCAGTGCTCCTGGGCGAGCCTCAAGCTCACTATTCACACCTGTCCCCAGCCCACTCAGCTGTTTCTCTTGTAAATTCCCAACTCCCACAACACTTGGTCCTTTGTCCCCAAGGCCATCGAACCTCGAAACACTCCTGGCCCTGGGGATTGTCCCAAAGTCCACTCACTGGCCCCAGATGCACTCTGGCAAGAAGCTGGAATTCCAAATTGCCCACCATGACAGCAAGCGGAAGGCTCATTAGAAAGCAGCCCCAGTAATGGGTCAGATCATTATGAGCTGCAGGGAGCCCTCGTGGTCATCCTGCCAGGTCCATGACTGACCCTAGTGTGAATGGCACTGGGAAGTTGCAGGGCCCTGTGGGTCCGGTTTGGGTGAGCCTGCTACCAATTTAAGACACATTTGCAATTGGCCCCAGGCTTATTTCCTGGAAGAGGGAGTCCCTTTCCAAGGCAGGTGGGGCCGTGGCTTCCAGTGCATGAACTGGCGGGCCCCACCTGCACGTTATACCCCCTCCCATGCCAGGGCCTTCCTTCATGTAGGATTGTTTATAGTCAGTCAAGTTTTTCCAGGTTGACCAAGAACTCCCCAAGCCTACAGCAGTCAGTTACAAGCCTCAGGACTTGGGCCAGCTGGAAGATTCAGAAGCCTCTGTGGGTTTCGGACAGCTAAGGAATGACAATCACACACAATTGTCCCAAACAATCCCCTCCCCAGTCTGCCCTCCCACCGATCCCCGATCCGCCAGGGGCTCAGGCAGGAGCCCTGCCCTGGGGCATCCAGGGAAGGAAGTGAAACTGCTGAGAGCAACCCTTCCTTCCTCTTACTCGCACGTCCAAGGGTTAAAAACACTTCCCAACTCTCCTTCCAACGGCAAGGTCAAGCAGCTGTCCAAGCCACCCAAGGAGAAGAGGGAGTCGTGGACAGCTGGCCCCCCCCTAGCTTGGTGGTGACAGGCCCTGCCAGCCCGGCTAAGGAAGAGTTAATCGGCAATCAGCTTTGGCCGATAGTTCAGACTCCGAAGTTCAGTCCCAGTCCCAGCCACCCCGGAGGGATTGTAAATCTCAGAGCAGTATTTAACAAAACAAAAGCAACCTGGAATTACATGCAGGTTCGGTTTTCTACAGTACACATTTACTTAATCCCCAAGGTATGTGGCTCCGTGTCAGATCAGCTGGCTTTGCTGGCCCTCCCGACCCCTGGTTCACAACAGTTTAAGTTTCAAACTAATTCCCTGTTTTCGCTCTTCCTCTTCACAGGGCTGGCTGGAGATGGCCTGGCCTGCCGGCCTCAAATCCCTCTCTCGATTGCTCTTGTCACTGGGTGAGTCAGCTCAGCTGAGTTGGGACTGGGGTGACAGCGGCTCACCCTCCCCACTTCTGCAGCACCAGGTCTCCAAAAACTGAAACAGGAGGTGCTGGGACCCCCAAAATATTAAAGGCAGTGCCCAGCGAGCAGGACCCTCCCCTCGGTGCCACCTCCCCAAGGCTGTGTTGGGGGAGGGGGCAGGGTCGAAGGTGAGAACAAGGGCTCTTTATCAGCTGCTGGTTACCCCCTCCTCCTCTGTCCTAATTTCCACCTGGGCCTTCTAGTGTCTGTGCTGCCAAGACCCTCTCCTTCCATTACAAGCCCAAACCAAGTACCCCCCCCCAGTGTCGTTAGAGCTGCAGTCCAGTCCGCCAGGTTGGGGCTGGGAAGGGGGTTGCCAAGGAAAACACCGAGCCAACTAGCAGGCGGCTCCCCGCTCTACCAGGGAGCGCGCACACCCTGAACTCAGCGGGTGGTGGCACTAGGGGGGAAGGCAAAGGGGGATCACAACACGTGGATAATGGGTGGGTCTCCTAAGTTTCGGGATGGGGGCAAACAGCCAGCCACCGATCCCCCAGGAGCCGAAGAGCTCGGGACCTGCCAAAATAGACAGTCTGGTGCCGGGAAATCCACAAGGTGAAACCGAGGAGCTCAGCGCTTGCGTGAGGCGCAGGGGAGTGGGGTGGCCAGAGACACTCAGCTCCCGGGCGAGGGATCGGGCGGCCGCAGCAGGTGGGGGCACCCCGCGCCAAGGGCCCCTGGCCCTCAGCGCCCACTCCCGGGAGTCGCGGTGCCCACGTACCTTTCTGACGCCGCGCTCTGCAAACTCGCGAGCCAGCTGGCGCCCAATGCCTCTCCCGCCGCCGGTGATGAGGACGTTCTCCCGCGACAGGTCCCGCAGCTTGGCGGGCAGCACCAGTCCGACGGCTGCTTTCGCCACTAGATAGATCATCTGCAGAGGGAACACCACCAAGGCGCCCAGCCATTTCCACACCATCCTCCGCGCCGCGGAGCCGGGCAGGGGGCGAAACTCCCCGGACTGAACAAAACAGGAATTAAAAAAGAAAACACCCCAAAACAATAATAAATAAACCGAATAAAAAAGAGAGGCGTCCCACCTGGTCACTCTTGAAATGACCTTTCCACAAATGCAAAGCACCGGCTGAGAAAAGTTGGTGGTGGGGGGGACTTAAAAAAAAAAAAAAGGATGAATCCTCGGGAGGAGAAAAAGCGTCTTATAAGGTTGGGACCGTGGAGGGGTGGAGGGGAAGCCGGAGGTGGGAAGTTCTAACAAGAAGTTTCTTGCCCTAGCAGCCGTGCCGGCTGGGGAATTCTCAGGTAATGTTTACAGACTGACAGAGGAGTTTAGGCAGGGAAAGAAAAAAAAAAAAAAAGGCACCAACCACCCGCGCGCACCCTGCCACAGTCCCGCGGTTTCAAAGTGCAAGATTAAAAAAAAAAAAAAAAAAAAAAAAAGCTGTTTCCAAATTGTAGCGCGCCCCCTTCTCCAGGAAAAAAAAAAAGTGGGGGAAAAGTGCTTGGAGCTCCCAATTTCAGCCCGCGAAAGTCTCCCGACTCATTGCTATTCTTGGGCTCAGGAAATTGCTTAAACGCGATCTGATTGCCAGCAACGTGCAGGAGAAGTGGGGGGTCCGGGTGTCAGTTTCTTTACGTGCAGGGCTCGCCCTCGCGCGCGCTCGCTCGCTCTCTCCGGCTCCCTCCCTGTCTTCCAGCAGAGGCTGGGAGTTGCCGCTCAATCCGGTTCCCTCTCTCTTCCTTTTAGATTTATTGCCTTCTTTTTGTCCTTTCCAACTTGGAGAGGGCCCGGGCGTGGAGCGCGCGTGGATCGGATGAGTGGATCGTCTGCGCGGCGTTATTCATTCGCTCCTGGGGCAGCTGCGGCGCGGAGCAAGAGGGCGGCCCTCCCCACCCCCCATTTTTTTTTTAATACCCCATTAAGTCTGATTGACAGTTAAAGTTGTTCCGAGGCTTCACTACCGTTCCTCTGAGTGGCTGCAGCGACCTCCCCTCCCCCTGCGCCGTCGCGGGGCGCGCGCCTGGGCGCGCACACGGGCTCGCTGCGACTCGCTCACTCCTGGGACCGGCTCCTGTCTCTGCAAGCCGGGACTTGCCGCCGGTGTCCCTGAGGGCTCGCAGCTGGAACTCGAACACGCTGGAACCGACTCCAGCGAGCCGGCTCCTCCCAGAGACATTCTTCTTGGCCCGGGCCAGGTGACCACCCCAGCGTGCGGGGCAGGCACCCGGGAGCTCGCGCATGCCTCGATCCAACCAGGTCGCCTAGAGTTTATTTCAGGTCACTTGGTCATCCCCTGCCTCCAGGTACAACCAGGAAGCCACGCCCCATCTTTGCCCAGACGCCCTCTATCTTTACAGAGTGTACTTTCTAAGTCTGATCCAAGTCTCACACGTTGCTTGAGCGGGTGGGGGGACCCACTGGGAAGCAGGGTTTTGTTTTGGGGGGGTGGGGGTGGGCAGGGTAAAGGAATCTCCGCCCCAGGTGCCAATAAAATCCCCATAAGATTAGCTGGGAGCATATTTATTGCTCATCGGGGCTAGAATTACCTTGACTGACAGCCATTTCCTTAATAACAAAAGACTGTAAACAAAACATCTTAAACCCGAATTTTGGGCTGAGCAAGGAGCAGCTCCTCTCTTTGGGTCGCCTTGGGGGTGTCTGGCACCCACCTTGCTATCTTCTGCCTTTCCCAGCAAGAAGGTCTCCCTGCTGGAGGGTGGGACTGAGCTATTTAGAGTTGTCTGTTGGAGGAAGTCTGGGAGGTGAGTCACCCGAAAAAGCAGCCCCAGTTAAAAGTGCTGATGGGACTTGCCTCCCGCCCCCTCTCCACGTCCCTGGGCTGAGGAGGGAGAGTGAGCCGGGAGCTGCCCTGTAATCTGGGGCAGCCTTTTCCAGTCTGAGACTTGTTCAGACTGGGAGGCCTGGGCCTCAGCTCCAGAGGTTCTGATTCAGCAGGTCTGGGTGCACGGGAGTAGGATCTTTGGATGGATGCTCTGTGTGGGTGAGAAAGTCACTTTGAGAAATGCTGATTTGGGGAGGAGAGGACTGGGGACCACCTTCTCACCAGCAAAGGCTCTGTGGTTCTGGGGAGAAGTGTGGCAGGTGAAGATCTTCCTTCCTTCGGGGTGAATGGGAACTGCTGGAAGAGCAAAAGGGAGTGGAAGGTCAGAACTCAACGCCGTCCACCGAGGGCCTGTGTCCTCACATGTAATCCTCCCACTGACCTTGCAGCAGTGGCACTCACAGTCCATTTTCCAGGTTACCCAGCCAGGAAGTGCAGCAGGGAGGGATCCAAATCCAGACTTCATTCCTCTCCCCACCCCACCCCACTCTGGCCAGAGGGAAGGGGGAGGGGGGAGGACCAGGTTCCCAGGCTCCAGGGGCTGCTTCCACCCCGCCCTCCAAGAGGATGGCCCAGGGCAGCCCACTGTCTTCCTCCCAGCACCCCACTAAAGGCGGGAATGCAGTCTGGGGACTGCTTTTTTTCCATCTTTGAAGTTATAAAACTGGGACAGAAATTCCAGCCTGGCAGAGACAGACCCACCAGGCCTCTGAAGAGGACTCAAAGCTGGGTACCCCCCAGACTGTGCCTGACTCTGTGCTCATCTGTTATCCTTGGAGCCGCCTAGTGGCCAGTGTCAGACACTACACATCCAAGCCGCCCAAGCTTTCAGCTGACCGCAGTCCCTCTTCGGTCCAACTGTGCTTTTATTCCCTCCACGTAAAGTTAACACCTTGAGTCTAAAAGGACTTGCAAAGATCTTAGCCCCCTTCACCTTTTCATGGCAGAAAACACCAAAGCACGGAGGTATCATCCTGCAACCCATCTACAGAAGCATGGTTACCCCAAGCAGCTACCTTGTGCTGTCTGATGCTGGACCATCTGGGTGACCACTAGGTCCCACTTATATCTCTGGGGATATGTGTGATTGGGATGGAGGGTGGCCGTGGCGGGAAGGAGACTGAGAACCCAAATGGACCAGCACATGGGCCCTGCACACATTTTCTCATTTAATTCCCCTAGCAGCCTGGGGAGGTAGGTGTCATTGTGCCACCCAGTGCAGCAGCAAACAGTCTCAGTAGATCGTTGTGACTCCATCAGGGCCACACAGGTGCTTCCCATCGAGTTTGGGATGAAGTTTTCTGTGAACACATCAAAAGAGAATGGCAGACCTTAGGGACAGCCAGAAGTAGGTGGTGGCTCTGGTTCTGCTAGGGTCACCTTGAGGATGTGGAGTGTGGTTTGGCATTCCTGTGAGCCTCAGACTCCCCCAGCATCAGCTGCCAGGGAGGAGCATCGGGGCTAGAATCACCTTGACGGACAGCCATTTCCTTAATAAGAACGACCGTAAACACCCCACAAATCCCAGGGAAGATGGGGTCCAGGGGCACCAGACTGGAGGTGTGCAGGGTCAGCAGGCCAGGCCTAAAGGACCTTGTGGTTTCAGTGAGAGCTGCACGGGACACATCCTTCCCAGTCCCCTCATCCTCCACCCGTGCTACCCCTCCTCTCTCAGTTTCCTCGGGGCGGCAGGTACAGAATCTCACCCAGGGTGAAGTTTGAAATTTCATGTCCAGGCCTGGGAGGAGGGCCCCACACTGTCTGCACTCCCCTCCAGAAAATGTGAAAGGGGCCTTTGTGGGCTTGGTGGGAGAGGTGAGCTGCAGCCTGGAGTGCTAACTTTTTCCATGACTCAGTCCTGCCAGCCAGGGAGGTGTGAGGCCAGACAGGGAAGCTGGAGCTGTGGCTGAGCTGCCTCCCGACCTTGGTGAACGGAGGGAGCCCCGAGAGGCACCGAGCCTTAGAGTTAGAGGTAGACTGCCCGGGAAGCCGGCCCTGCCCGGGCCACTGGGTAGTAGCTGTTCCCCGACCACTGGAGCCGGTTCCATCTCTTTTGGACCATTCTACCCCAGTTCCAAGCACACACAGGCGGCGTGTTCTTCATTGACAAGGCAGATTTTTTACCACCACTGCGGCTGAAAGTTGGGCCCCAAAAGCCCGACAATTTAAAAAAGTGGGTCTCGAGCCTTGTCTTACTGAGAGAGACCGAGACAACTTAAGAAGTCTGCTGGGCACGAGGTGCACCCCTGGAATCCCATCAGCTCCGGAGGCTGAGGCAGGAGGATCATAAATTCTAACCAGCCTCAGCAAGACCAACAGCTGCTAAGAGGTGGAGGTGCTGCATTTACTTTCAAAGCATATAAGCCTCAGACCAGCAGGAGAGGACCACCCAGGGATTCCCGGGCTCCCCTCCCAGCCTTCCAGAACCAGCATCTTCAGGTGGGGCATCTTCACGGAGACTGGGCAGGTGGTTGCTGGGTGGAGGGGAAGATGACCACCACTGCTGCCTCTCTGTGTCCCCATGTCACATGCAGCGCCTGCATGAAGCTTCCCTGCCTCTTCTGCCACCACTTGGGCTCCTCCTTCCTTGGCCTGTGGTTCTCACTAGCTCCACCGATGCCAGCGAGGAAGGATGGTGGACCGGCTCTGGAGGGGCAGGGGCGTGGTCGGTCAGCTGCCCTGCAGTCCTCTCCCTGGGGCAGAAGCTCTCGGGCCCAGGGACCCGTGGAGCGAGGCAGGATGGGTCAGAAAGGAGCAGGGGTCCTGACTTCTGGCTCTGCGGTGTGGCAGCTCGGGTTCAAATGCCAGTCCTGCTGCCTCCCGCTGGGCGGCCTTGGGCCAGGCCCTTCCTCTTTCCATCTTGGGAGGCCAAGGCAGGGGGCGGGGGGCAGGGGGGCTGAGCACTTGTGAACCCCTGATCCTGCACCTGGCCCCGTGAAGAGCCCGTGAGTTCCAGTCCTGCGGGTCACGGCCCTGCTGGCCGGGGCCGACTTTGTGGAGGAGCCGGTTCGTGGCTCAGAGGTGCCGGTTCGTATCCAGCGTGTGGAGAAGGCTCTGGGCACTGCAGGGCAGAGCTGGGGCTGGCACACCCTCATTTCAGGGTTACCCCCACCCGACCTTCCTCCTGGGGGGACAGGGCCATGCATCCTGCTCCCCAAAGCCCCCCCCCAGAGTCCCCTCCCTGCCGAGGCTGGCCCAGGCACCCTCTGGCCATCCTGCTGCCCC